TCTTGGCTGAAAGCAAAGATGAAGGATGGCCATTCTCACTTCCAAGGAGCACTCAGGCTCTACTTCTTCCAGGACATATTTGTTCATTCTTCTGGAAGTCCATGGAAATTTTAGTATTCTTCACCATCAACACAATGCAAAGGCATCAACTCTTCTTTGGTCTTCCTTATTCATCGCCCAGGTTTCACAGATGTATGAGGCGACTGGAACTACCATGGCTTGGGTCACAAACATCTTAGTCCTTAAAGTAATTTCTTTGCTTCTTAATACTTTAAAGAGGTCTTTTGCAGCAGATTTTCCCAGTGCAATACAACATCTGATTTTGTGACTGCTGCTTCCATGAGTGTTGATTGCGGATCCAAGTAAAATGAAATTCCTGACAATTTCAGTATTTTCTCCATTTATAATGATGTTGCTTATTGGTCTAGTTGTGAGGATTTTAGTTATATATTTTTTTAATGCTGAGTTGTAATCCATACTGAAGACTGTAGTCCAAGTGCTTCAAGTCATCTTCACTTTCAGCAAGCAAAGAAAGTTGTGACATCTGTATAGCACAAGTTGTTAATGGTTCTTCCTGCTATGTTCTTCTTCATGTAGTCCAGCTTCTCAGATGATTTTCTCAGCATATAGATTGAATAAGTACGGTGAAAGGATATAACCATGATGTACACCCTTCTTGATTTTAACCCCTTGCAGTATCCCCTTGCTCTGTTCAAATGACAGCCTCTTGGTCTATTTATAGGTTCCTCATGAGAACAACTAAGTGTTTTGGAATTCTTTGCAATGTTATGCATAATTTGTTATGCTCTACACAGCAGAAACCTGTTGTATAATCAATAAAAACAAGTAGATATCTGAAATAGACTATGCTTAGAGTGACTTGCCTCAAACTCACACATTTCTCAAACCAGACTGTTCAACTCTGTAACCACCAGTCTATGTGTTTAGGTCAATATTGGGTATGATCAGACAAACTCAGTGGTAAAATAGGAGGCAGAATAAAGTGAGGGTTACTTCTTTCTTATTTCTATAGCCAAAAATTCTAGTCAAATTTACAGTCTACTGTTATATTTATATTTATTCTCTATTAAATTGCTCTTAAATTTTACATAACTTTAGCATGTCTTCCTACTTTAAGAAAGAGTACTGACTAGTTATACAATTCTCTTTGTTGGTGGTAGAGGGATAGATACGTGTGTGGAGATGTAATATCTAAAATTGCTTCATAATATTTTTCTCAGAACTTATGCTTGTAACGGAAGTTTCTCAACATGAAATGTCATCAATTTGGCCTCACTCAGGAAGTTGCAAGGCACTTGACTGTAACCTCAGTGAATTGAATGCTGTCTAAAATCTAATTATTCAACTGCCTATCATTTAAGAGCTTCAAAAGTTATTTTATTTCTTAACTAACTCCCTTGACAATTTAACTGATTAAAAAAATGCTTCTGATAAAATTCTTCAGGATGAAAGTATAGTCATGTTATGTCAGCAATATAGAGAGTGAAAACCATGAATTAAAATTTTTTATCATTAATCATCTGAATTATGCATTTTTTTATCAAAATCTATTATGAGGATTTGATACATATACCTGGAATAAAATTTCCCTAATTATGCATCTTGTCACAACATAATTCAGATTGCAAATACATAAAATCTTGGGCATCAGAATAATCATTTCATTTCAGAAGGCATCACTTGGCTGGTTCCAGTGAGGAGGATGTAGGCCAAAGGGCCGTTATTGGCATATACTTTGGCAGCATGTATGTTCTATGCCTACATACTATTGAGTGAATAAATAAATAAAGGATACTAGGAATTGTGTCTCATTTTCACCAATTTTCAAATTAGAAACACTGAGCTAGTGTGATCACCCTGTAAATACTCCAATATCAGCCCTTTAGGAATCTCTCTTCCCCTGCTTCAGTGCACTCAAGTTCTCTGCAGTACTTCTGCTCAAAAACCTCTACCTAAATCCATGATTTACTCTTCATAGGCTCAGGCTTATATTTCTCTCCAAGCGGAAGGCAGCAGGCATCTAAGTCCCTCAGCTCCCTCACAGCCTTGATGAACTTTTTTTTTTTTGCCTTTTTACTCCCCTTTCTCCAGCTTTTCATAGTCAAGAGGGGAAAAAAAAAGAAAAAAGAAAAAGTGTCTTCCTTCTGCTGATTTCCCCTTCCCTGAAGTTAGAGAGGTGAGGGTAGAGCATCAGGAAACTGGTTGCCAGGTGAAGGTGGCAGTGCTCATTTAATGTGGTTTATACTTTAGCTGCTGTGCTCCTGCCATGGGCTCATCCTTCCTTGTGCCTCATGGTGTCCCCACTTCTTTCTCTCCTTCCCTCATTGCAGGGAATCACTCTTCCTCTGCTCCAGTGTCCATACAATTTATGCATTTGTGCTCAAAAGTCTCTCCCTATATCCTTGATTGGATACCAGACTTTCATTTAGAAAGAACTGATATTGTGGCTGAGTAACCTTCACAGATGATTTCCACCATTTTATAATCAAGTCATTCCTTAGATTCTTCCCAACCTATGGTTTCCTGGAAACTCCATAAAGAAGTTGTACTCAGCCTCTCTAAGGCAGCAAGTTGACTGATGTTTAGAAATTATAGTCAGTGACTATGGCATGTCCAAGGAGGTCTTAAAATAGTCTGTTTGATGTGGTACCCATAGCAGAAGAGAAACCATGAAAGGGGGCAGCATTTTGGACTTTAGAGATTGAAAGACCATTTTCCTACTGGAGAAAGAAGATTAGAAGTAGGCATGAGCTTTATTCATGATGTAGGTACTGCAAAAATTAAATTTCATGGATCAAAAAAAGAAAGAAAAACCCTAGAAATTACCAGTGCAATGCTGACCCCCAGCATTGGAAATAACACTTTTTATTTCCTGATTTTTCCTAAGATGGTACATTTTATGTGGTTCAAAAATTTATTGGTTTATTGGTTCAATTAGATTGATTTGAATCTAAAGATGGAATCTATTATATAGGAATAATCATTATTTTCAATACATTCCAATAAATATCTCCAAAATGCCCAGTCTGTAACAAGTATTACAGTAGGCACCAGATATTTAAAAAGTGATACAAATAATCTCTGTCAGAAGAAAGTCAGTCTTCTGGGAGGACGATTGCCATATAAATAAAATATAAAATAAGTGCTATGACCAACAGAGATACTTACAAGATGACACAGAAGCACAAAGAAGAGAACACCAAAGAGACTCATGGATGACTGCACAGTGTAAGCAAATTTTGTGATGAGTCTTAGAGAGGATAGGAAGACTAATGTTGTAGGAAACAGAAGGAGTAATTGCGGAAAATAAAAGCATCTGAAAAGTCACATAGTCCATACTGACTTCAGGAAATTGCAAGTAGAGTCTTATGGCTGGGGTGTAGAGTGAGGAGGGAGATGAAAGATATGACTTATACAGTAGATTAAAAAATGGTTGTGAAGGACTCCTATAACCTGGAAGAAAGATTCAATAATTACACTAAAGACAATGAGAATCCATCAAAAAAAAAGTAAGGAGGGAAGTATGCGAATTGATCTGTGGGTTAGAAAGATCTTTCTGGAGGCTTTATGGAGAATGGATCAGAAGGTGGGGCACTGGGAGAACAAAGGTAAGCTAGAAAGCAAAAAAATTGCAACAGTCCACACATGAAACCATCAGGTTCTAAAGCAAGACAGTGACCATGGGGATGGAGATCAAACTATGACTATGAAAGTTTTCCTAGAAGTGGAATCCATAGGACTTGATTATTTATTGAATCTTTATGAGGATAGCTGTGAGATAAAGTGAGACTTTGGGTGACTGAAAAAAAAACAAACTCACTGCCGTCAAGTTGGATCTGATGCAAAGTGACCCCTGCTTGGGTTTCCAAGTTGGATCTGACTCATGGTGACCCCTCCTTGAGTTTCCAAGGCAGTGTCACTACAGAAGTAGATTGCCCAACCTTCCTTCTGAGGAGTGGCTGGTCAGTTTGAACCGCCAGCCTTCTGGTTGGCAGTCAAATGCCTTAGGCACTATGCTACCAGAGCTCCCCATAGGTTAAAGAGGAGGATTGGGAGTAAAAGAGAAAATCAAAGATTTGGAGAGAAAATCAGAGATTTTGGCTATGTTGCTGTTATTCAGGAAGGTGGAATTATTCATGGATCTAGGGTTCAGGAGACAGACTGAGGCTAATCAGTGTGGGAATAACTACTACTACTACTACTACTACTAAAAGGGTAGAAAAGACTGAGCATAAAGTCTCAGGTACAAAATAGGTTCTTTAAAGATCTAATATTAAAGTACCCTAAGTTACACTATTCTAGAAAATATAATACATACATAGATTTTTTTAATTATTAAAATTAAGGTATTTCAAAATTAAAATTTTTTACCCCAAAGGTAAAATATCTGTACAACTATTAAAATCAGTTTCATTAAATTAGATTGACAATATATAATTTTCTATATTTTATAGTACATGATAGAATAAGACATCAACAACAATAATGATCAAACTCGACTTTGGATGAAGATAAAATGTCTCCAATATTAACTCACACTTCCATAGTAAATATAAAAATGAGTGTAGATATGGCTCGAACAAATCAATTAAACAGGGACATGCTATTTATTTAATAATATACACAAATTGAAAACTGGCAGGTATGATGAAAGTAAGTTTTTTTTTTTTTGCAGATATTACCATTCTACATTTGTAAAATAATACAGATAAAGCATATGTCACACATACCAAAACACTTACATTATATCTTTTTCTAATACAGACAAGTGAGATATTAACACCAAACATTTAAAATAATATACATGTTATTTACAATAATTGGAAATGTTAGTATTATAAACTATTATGTACAATCATTCAGACTAAATCATGCAAACTTTGGGCTCTATTTACAAATAGTCCTGTTTTATTTGATCTTTTAGCTCAAGAAGAATGAAAATGGAAGGGATCTGTAGATCTATAGTTGAGAGTATGCATTCAGCCACTGGGCTCTGTGATAGTAATCTTCTGTACCATGGAAGGCAGATTTTCTGACTCCAGATCTTCTTTGCCATTATCTGAATTTTCTGATGAAATATAACAACCAGAGTCCCTTGGGCAGTCATCTAACTGTGACTTATTTAAGGAGGTGTCTGGGCTTATGGATAGGGGCACAGGTTCATTTTCTTGATCTTGAAGAGCTGTAAATAGAAAAGAGGGCAGGGATTAGACAAAGCCAAAACAAGTTTTATTCATGTATTCACTCGTCTTCAAGCACTATAATATTTTAAGTGTTCCAACATTGACTTCTTTACAATTGAAACATCTGCAAGTAAAAAATATATTTGTTTATTTTAAAACATATATATACACTCAAATATTAAAGGTACTGTTTTATTAGAAGGCAAAATTTGCCCTTTCTTACTCACTTGCACTTTCATTGTATTCATGTGAACTGCCTACATAAGATCAATATGGGCTCTCATTTTACATTAATAATAAGTTGCCAAAAAAAGCAGATTGTATCCACAGTATGACTGATGCCTTGTCCAAATCCTCCTTAAAGTATCATTAGAAAAAGTCGTTTGTAGTTTAAATGTACAATCCAGGTCAATATAGTGAACTTTGCGAACACTTCCAGAATATGCTAATGTACGTTCATAACAACAATAACAACATGGATAACAATGTATAGTAGAACTACAATTACCTGGAATTTAACTAATAAAACTTTAAGTATCTAGAATTTTCCTATGTTTGCATTGATCATGAAAATATAATAAATTAGGTTGACTTTAGAGAGTAAAATACCAAAACTTCCATTAAATCCGTCTTATAAATATTTAGTTTGTCTTCTACATCTTTGTCTGTAGTTCTGAATAACAATCAATTATGTTCATAGATAATTCTATGTCATCAAAGCAGTATTCTAGATTAAGAAGCACTGTCTTTTAGGGGAAAAAAAAATAGAGAAGAATCAAAGGTATTTCCAAAGAACCTAAGCAACCTTATAGTTTAGACCTTACTATTTTCACGTATCCTTTGGCACCAACTTTCTCATTTCAATGTGACATTTCTTTCTATGTCTTCCCTGACACCAGTAGGTGGGTGTTTCTCTGCATCATAAGCTGAGTTTCTCAAAGACATGAATCACAAGTCACCACCTCTCAGCTATATTAGCATATCTTCCTCTTTCCCCTTCTAACCTTGAGACACCCCCACTTTCAATGTTTGAATAGTGTCACATTAGAAGAACTAAGCATGTACATTTCAGGTTTAGGCAAAATACCTGCAGAGGCTAAGCACTTCATGCCATCCCAGTTAGAAGAAAGTAAATCCCAACTTGGAAGAATGAAATTGTATAATTTTTCTCAAATTGTTATAATGCCAACTAATTTATCTTTATAAGACCCATCCTTTATCTTGCCAACTTGTATCCTGCTTTTTAAATGTATTCTCAAGGCTCCAGGTATCTTACAAACATGAGTTTATATCCTATTGTGGATCCATTTGTTCTCAACTTACTTGGCAAGAGAGAATTAAGCCCTGGTGCCCTAAAGTATCCTTGTAGGTAATGAATTAGCTTTTCTTCGATGTGACTAGAATAGTACTAGTTTTGTATAATTCTCCATGAGAGAATCATTTTCTGTATTCTGTTATTTAGATAAGGAACACTGATTGAGAAAGGCTGGAAAAAAATGATAAAAATTGCTTATTGTCTACTCATATTCCGAATGAATTGTATAAATTCTTTTAACTTTTCTTCAAGGCTGTTATTTGCAAAAATGAAACGATATTTATGTCATTCTTCTGCATCTTCTCTGCCTTTGCTACAACTTTAATCGTGAATTTTAATATCACATCTCATTATGTTGTAACTAGTCCTATGTCTGTGGGTATGTATGTATACCCAATAAGCAGTTACCATCCAATTGATTACAAATCATGGTGACACCTTGTGTGTCACAGTAGAACTATACCTCATAAGGTTTTCAATAGCTGATTTTTCAGAAGTAGATTCCCAGGCTTTTCTTTCAAGGTGCTTCTAGGTGGACTTGAACCTCCAACATTTTGGTTAGCAGCCAAGCATATTAATAGTTTGTACCACACAGAGTCCAATACTAGGGTGTGTGTGTGTGTGTGCGTGTGTGTGTATATATATTTGTTGTTGTTATGTGCCGTCGAGTCAAACCCAACTCATAGCGACCCCTCCTTGGGTTTCCGAGGCAGTATCACTATGGAAGTAGGATTGCCCTTCCTTCCTTCCGAGGAGTGGCTGGTGGGTTTGAACCGCCAGCCGTCTGGTTAGCAGGTAAGTGTCTTAGCCACTATGCTACCAGAGCTCCTATATATATATAAAACACTGTCATGGAGTGGGTTCCAGATCATAGTGACCCCCAATGGGTTTCCAAGACGGTAAGTCTTTAAAGAAGTAAAATGCCCCATATTTCTTCTGTGGAGGGGTTGGTGGGTTTGAACTGCCAATCTTCTGGTTATCAGTCAAATACCTTAAGCACTGCCTTCAGAGCTCCTTAATGCTAGGTATAAAGAATTTTAATTTAAACATGCAACTATTGTAATTGTTATTTTAAAATTTTAACTACTGTAAAGTGTTTTGTATGTATCAGTATAATCATCTTTCAGTTTGGACTGGTTTACTTAATGAATATCAGTAATTCACCTTTTTTAAAAATAACATTTTAGTGTGTTATACATGAAAGTATACACAGCAAATTAGGTTCCTCTTTAACAATTTTTGTATAAATTGCTCTGTGCCATTGGTTATAGGTTTTACAATGTGTCAGCATCCTCATTATTTCCATTCTATTTGTTCTATTTCCACTGCTCTAGCTTCCCTTCTCTTCCTTGCCTTCTCATCTTTGCTTTTGGGTAACTGTTGACTGTTTGGTTTCATATACACCTACTTCTCACTTATTGACTATCCCATTATCCAACATTTCACTTTCATGGCAATTGTAAAAACATCCACCATCCAATTATTTTTCACATTAATGATGTACATCTAACAGATACTGAAGTGTGAGGTGAGAGTAATGCTGGCTGTGATGGTTAAGGTTATGTATCAACTTGGCTGGGCTATGACTCTAAGTGGTTTGGAAGTTATGTAATCATATAATTTGGCTATGAACAATGTAATCATCTCCTGTTTTGTAATTTAATTTGATGTGGTCATCTTTCATTTTCACATAATGACCAGATCTTTGGAACCTAACCATGTCAATAAATGAGGACTGGGTGTAGTTAATTGTGTAAGGGAGTAAGTTACTCACAGGTGATATTGTTTTCCCCTGACACTATGGTCCCAAGTGTTTTGAGCTTGTAAACCAATCCTGTGAGTTGTTTGGATATGTCTAGGAAGCCTCTATAACTGTTTTTCTTATGTTTTTTTTTTTTAGATATGTGGATATATATGCCAAACCAAAAGCAAACCCACTGGTATTGGGTTGATTCTGACTCATAGCAACCCCCACTGGGTTTCCAAGGTGCTAAATCTTTATGGAAGTAGATTGCTCCATCTTTCTTCCTTTTGTGGAACAGGGTTATATATACAAATGTGTGTATAAATATTCATACAGATACACCTATACATACACATGCATTTACTAGCATATGCCTTTCTATACACACATATATATATCCATGTCTACCTATGTAAGCACACACATATTTTTCAGTTGTTTTTACTGTTGCAATATTATATATGTTATGTTGTTGTTGTTGTTGTTATGTGCCGTAGAGTCGGCCCCGACTCATAGCGACCCCTCCTTGGGTTTCCGAGGCAGTATCACTACGGAAGTAGGATTGCCCAACCTTCCTTCCGAGGAGTGGCTGGT